ATGTTTTTCATGACAGGTAACCAAGACTGTGGACAAGGTCACAAAGAGCATAACGAAAGTCAATAAACAGTGGTACATAATTGAAAGATTTTCATCCACTCTTGTCTTAGATTTTAATACAAACACTTACATTAATATTTCTCTCTTCCATTTTAAGCATTCTTCTTTTAAGGTGCCCAATCTATTGGACCCTAAAACTGCGGGCATTTACCACTACCTTCCAGCAGATGGTTCAAATGATTTTGCAAGAGCAACATCAAAAGTTGTCAGGACACTAGTTTTTAAACTCTGCTTTTCCCTATTTAGGACATCCATTGTCATCTGAATTGTTCAGTGATGATTCGTATCATTCATTTTGAACAAATATGGGGACTGAAAATTTTGAATATGACCCGAGTCTTGTGATTCTGCAACACAATGAAGATTAAGAAATCCCTCCCCCGGCCCTGCTTTGTGATCTGGAAAAGGACTTACTGCAAATAACCTCCCTTTCCCACAAGACTCAGATAAGATTCAGTTGCTTTTCTTGTTTACGACAAGGCCATAAATATACTCTCCAAATTCCCATTCTTTGCCTCATAAATTATTTGCTAAACTGTTTTGTTCCTACTGATCAATTGGAACAAAAATGCTTGTTAGACAACTTTTGGCTGAGCTCCTCTCCTTCCTCCAGGCTCCTGAACTTTGGTCCACTCTCAGCCAAGTTAACATATAATCCTTCCTTAAAAATAGACTGACCTCAGGGTAAAACATTCTTTGATTTACTATTTGATCCTGCTACCATCTCATCCCACTTCTCTCTCCCCCAGTTCATTCCAGCCTTATTTACTTCTTCCTATAAGAGAAAATAATTTTTTGGAGATCCTGACTGTGTACCAGTCTCATAAATGGAGAAACTTAGCTGCAAACCAGGAACAGCATATTCAGAGAGCTGTAGAATGGACTCTGGAAAGCTGCTGCAAGAAAGCATCCAGTTTTCATGATCCTGAGTGTCAGTGAAAGAGAAAAATGGCATGAAGATCTTAGCTAGAGTGGTGAAGTAAGGACCTACAAAATTGCCCATCTGTAAAAGCAATGAGAAAACTGGCAAAAATAGTCAGAATTAACTTTTTCAGAACTCTGGAAATTAACCAAAGTTTGCTTGTATCAACCCAGGTTACATTTATTTTTTTAAAAAATGGTTGAATTTCAATAGCAAAAGTGAGCTTTGCGTGTTTTATTTCATCCTCCACAGCCTTAATTTCATCTTCCACAGTCTACCTCAGCAGATGCCTTGAAAAATAACAACCTACAATGCTGGTACCAGAGGGAAAAGACTGGAGTTAGAGCTCTTTAAAATCTCAGTCACAAGGAGCCATCATTATTTGACCTGTTTGGTGGTTTCCTGGAAGACCCTACTCAAAGGTTTTTCTTTTCTGACCTGATGTAAAGGTCACCAGTGCTTTCCACTATTGGTCTGTGATGGCGGGGTGTCTGTTGAAAACATTTACTTGCAAGAGTTTTAACGTAGCTGGCTGAGGCAATGGATAACAACTAGGACAAACAGTAGGTCCACTCAAAAGCCTAAAAGAAAAATCTGAGGAATGAAATGTGAAGTAGTCCCCCCTCCCTCACTCTGAACACAGACCAATTTGGGCAGCAAATAAGTGTCCTAATAAGAATTCAAATCAATTCTGACACTAACTCTCTGGAGCTAACAGCAGACTCTGCAAGTTTAAGGGCTCAGTCACACAAGATTGCCTGCATATCAGACAGCAATAGCAAGTATTGGGACCTCGGGTTACCCAAATTTCTGTCCCACTTGACTAAAAAGTTGGGAGTTCCCAAAACCTCCCTTTCAGGTTGAATAATTTGCTAGAATACTTCACAAAACTCAGAGAAACAGTGAATTTACATTGATCAGTGTAGCGTGAAAAATATAAATGAACAGCCAGATGAGCAGATACACAGGGCAAGTTCCAGAGGGGTCTTGCATGCAGGAGCCTCTGTTTCATAGAGTGCTTCCCGCCCAGGATATGGATGTGTTTTTCAACCCAGAATATCTCTGAACTCTATAATTTTGGGGTTTTTTTAAAATTAAGGTTTCATCACATAAGCATGACTAATTATTAACTCAATATGCGGCCCTTCTCCCAGAACCTGGAGGTTGGAAGGTGACTGAAAATTCCAAGCTTCTAGTCAAGACTTGATCCCTCTGGAGACCAGCCGCCTCCTGAAACTATCTAGGAGTCCACCAAGAATCACCTTATTAGAACAAGAGCAAAAAAACAAACAAACAAAAAAACACCCACACCCCTATCGCTCAGGAAATTACAAGAGATTTAGGAACTCTGTGCCATTAACCGGGAACAAAGACTACATATTAAAACAAAACATGCTCCTATTACTCCTATCACTTAGGAAATTACATGTGTTTTAGAAGTGCTGTGCTAGGAACTGGGGTCAAATACTGAGTATATATTTCTTATTACACCACAGATTTCCTGCTAGGGTCTGTGGAAAGCTCTAACATATTCTTGGGAATCTAGGAGACCACGTGCATTTGCAGGGCTATATGCACGCTCAAGAAAGACCTTAGAGGGCCTTAAGCTCTCACTTCTGCCTAATTTTAAGGCTCTGAACAGTAGGAAGTGAATGTTAAGTTGGTGTTGTTAACTGTCTGGCTGAGTGTTGAATACCGTGCACACAGAGCCCTTCATGAAAGACTGGGAGATTTACTGGTTCCAGGCATTGAAGGAAATATCTGTGCAATCATTAGCCAACCATGAAGTTAACCAAACAGATAGTTCAGTGGCACATATGACAAAGAACACAGACTTCACATAATTAATTCAGAAAAGTCACTAAACAAACAAACAACTAATAGTATGATGAGCAGCAGCAACGATAAACCCTGGTGAGGGGAGAGCTAAAAGAAACATGTCTAGAGAACTAAAGGACAATACCTCATCAAATAGAGAAAATAATAAATCATAGAATTTATGAAAAAGAACCAGGTAAAAATTCTGGAGTTGAAAAGTACAAAAACTGAAGAAAAAAAAATTCACTAGAGGGATTCAAAAACAGATTTGAGTAGGCAGAAGAAAAATCAGCAAATGAAGACAGGTCAAATGAGATTATCCAGTTTGATGAACAAAAAGAAAAAAATGAAGAAAAAGGAACAGAGCCATAGACACCTCTGGGATGCTGTCTTGGTCCATCCAGGCTGCTATAACAGAACGCCATAGACAGTGGCTTAAACAACAGATATTTCTCACAGTTATGGAGGTTTGGAAATCTAAGGTCAGGGTTCCAGCATGGTCAGATTCTGGTGAGGATTTTCTTCCTAATTTGCAAATGGCTCTCTTCTGGCTGTGACCTCACCTGGGAGTGGGGGGAGCAGAGAATGGGACTGAAAATGAGTACACTGTAGTTTTCTGGTGTTTAGACACCAGAGTCCTGCTTGACTCTAACAACTAGAGGGAGCAGCCTGTAATACACATAGGACACGAGGCATTTGGAACCACATACTAACTAAACTGGTATTAACTAAAGCTGCTTCCAACCCATGATCCAACTCAAATCCTAATTGGATTGAAGTTATATACCTAAGGAAAATTATAGTATTTGAGTGAGGAAAGGCTATCCTCTCTTTGGGAGGAAATATTTACTTCACTTCCTGTGGCTCTTTTAAACATAATGCCAGGCATACAATGAAACAATTCCAAAAACATGTGAAGTAACAGGGAAGTGTGACCCATGATCAACAGCAATTGCACCCTATCACTTACTTCTCTCATATTCTGTTTTCCAAAGCAAGTTTCCAGACCAGCCTAGATATCAGAGGTTGGGAAATCAACTGTACTTGGTGATGAGAAGAGTTCTGAAGGTATTGCAAAGGGTGATAGTACAGGGAGTGATGGAGCATTTGTGACATTAAAAAACCAATCTACCAGAAGAGTTCAAGAGCAGGCTCCTCACCCACATGTCACATGGAACATCAGATGTATTCTTTCTCTGTTCCTTTTGTCCCTCCTATTGATATTTGTGTCCAGGGAAACTAAGTCAGAGCAGCTTCTTGCCACTGACTGTGTCAATGCTGCCTGTGCAGTAGTACTCAAGGGTGTGCAAAGAATCCATTCTTGGGAAACTTGTAAAGCTGCTGGCCATGTGGCCAGCCAGTCTTAGATATGGCAGAGATTGGCTGAGTTCCTCAGAGGCCTATCTTGACTAAAACCTACAGAAGCATAGAGTCATACTCTGTTACCTCACTCAGTCCTTTTGCTCCTCAGGAAAACAGTTTCGGTTACACTTTATGCCCCATTTTTCCTCAGGGCTCAAACTTAGGACCACTGCTCTGGCTGCAATGACTCCCTCCAGTACCCACTGTATAGATGGCCTCACCAGATCTTTCTACTCCTGTATCATTGCGGCCATTATTGAAGGCTTATTGTGTGTCCAGTAGAAGGTAAAGCTCCATGACTACCCTGGAAGAAGAGTGCTGTTATTACTCACTGACAGATGAGGGACAGAGATGTTCAGTGATTTGTGCACAGCCACCCTAAGTGAATCCAGTGCCAGACTGCCTGGGCCCACTGGTTCACGTTTTTGGGAACAAGGACACTGAGATGACTGTGAGGCTAAAGTTCATGACTTGTGCTCAGCAGCCCCAGGAGACTCGCTTTGCCTACGTGATGCGCCTGGAAGTCCTGCTGCAGGCGGCCATGGAGAAGGGGGCCATCCCACCCTCCGTGGCAGACCAGGTGCGTGCCCGGCAGGTGCGGATGTGGGCCTGTCCCAAGGACACGCTCTGGAACATGCTGAGGACGGGGCCAGAGAGGAGAACGCCTGACTTCCTGGGGATGCTTTGGCTCATTCAGGAGGTGAAGGCATGGGAGGCCGCCCCGGCTATAAACCAGCAGTTCCAAGGGGAAGAAGGGGGCTGTGTGTACACCGGAGACCTGGATGCTGCCCAGCTCACCCCAGCCCATGAAGGAGCTGCCTAGGCTTCCCAGGCTGCCCTAGGCCATAAAGATGGTACCAAGGCCATCAAAGCCCATGAAGACGTTGCTGACACCACTCCAGCCATTGAGGATATTGCCCCAGCTGATGAAGATTTTGCTGAGGCCGACCCAGCCAGAGAAGTTCCCACTGAGATCTCCATTAAAGATGATGCTAAGAGTGTATCCAGTAAAAGGACCACCAAGGCCTCCTCTTCTCTCAGGAAGATGAAAATCTTCCCACCCTTGCAGGCCTAGGTCAGGAAAGACTCACAGAGGCCCATGGTTGCCCCACCCCTGCCTATGTAGGCAGCGCTTCCAGGCCAGGACCAGGAGGTCCTGGTGGGGAGCCAGAGAGCCAGGCCCAGGCAGGAGACCAGGAGGTCAAAGAGCCCCACGAGGAGGGGCTCAAGCCCATCCCAGACAAGTTGCGAAACGAGGACGGGGTTGGGGAGATGAGCCCCGCCACATCCTCCCAGGGCAAAGAGGCTCGAAAGGCCGAGCGCCGTCCTCTCTTCTCTTCTCTCCTCCCCTCCCCTCCCTTCTTGGGCAGGACGGCCCAGGAGGCAGGGGGAGGCCAGGCCAGGCAGCCTCCTCACCCCACACGGGGAGCAGGGCCCAGAGGAAGGCCCACCCAGCCCCAAGCAAACACCCAAGCCTCCCACCACCCTCAAAGGGCCCTGACCCCCACCACCAGCCCTTCCAAGTCACCAGGGTGTCCATATTTACACCAAACGGGATGGGGAGAGGCGCCCCCTCCACGGCGGCACCGCGCCTGGTCCCAGCCCCAAACCCTGCCAACTTGGGCAGCTGGCCTGGGAGCGCCCAGCCTAGGAGCAGGGCACCTAAAGACATCTGCCGCCCACATGGAACTGGCAGATGTTAGGGGCCGTCTCAGGGGTGCCAGTTGTGGGGACCCCCATTCCCCATCTTCCGGAGCAGGCTGCTCCCTGTATTGGGAGGCCCCCACCCCGTTTCTCCGTAGGCCCCATAGTGACCCACGTGTCACATAATCAGCTCCCCGCGCCCCCCCCCCACACACACTAGACTTGGTTCCTGTGCAGAGCCGCCGGGTGCGCGTGAACCTGGGTGGGTGTCCTGGCCTGCCTCCCGGGGCAGCCGCCTCTCAGCCCCGGCACCCGCTGTGAGCTCCACTGCCAGCCACGGCTCCGCCTGCTCTCGTCCAGTGTCGTGAGCTCAACCTCTGCTTGCTCCGTGCAGACTTAGGTCAAGCACTGCATGTGCTCGTGGAGATCTGTGTGCACTTTTCTGAGCAGTTCCTGTACCACTACTCCCACCCTGGAGACCCTGTGCCCAGTCCCAGCATCCTGCGACTGTCCTGTGCAGGCCGTAGGGCAGGGCCAGGACCCAGCACGTCAGCTAGTGGGAGGGGGCCCCTGCAGCGAGCGGACATCGCCAGCGTCCGTAGCCCTGCAACGGCCGATCGTGGGGCCCTCAGGAAGGGGGACTGGGGCGGGAGGGCCGGGCATCGGGGCGCAGTGGAGGCACGTCATTGGGGACCGCACGAGGGGATGGGTCGAGACCTACGGGCCCTAGTGGCCCTTAGAAGCTCCTCTTTGTGTTGTCACTCCCTTTCTTTGATGGATTCAGTAAACGTTTCTCTTCCAGAAGTGTCACTGAATGTTTCAGCTGAGTCTTGCCTCCGCTGTGGGCAATTGAGGGAAGGGTCTGCTGAGAGCGGGGTTGCAGAGGACCGCAGTAGCCTGGGACTCCAAGTCAGCATTGAGTGTGTTTCGATCTCTAATTGCAAATGTGGTCACCAGTCAAGGAGCAATGTCTTTGAACTGAAGTAAAGGAACTGAGTTGAGTGGCTGGATGATGCCAGTCAATAGGACTGCTGTGATTAGGGTCAGTGGTTAGCTATGTCTCCAGGGTATACACCAAAACTTCTAAAAGTCAGTGGGTCAGGCAGTGACAGGAGGGAAAGTGACAGTAGGCAGGATGGAGTCCTGGGTTGATGCAAAGCTTAAGTATCTTTTTAATAGCTCCCTCATTTATTCTAATGTTCATTCAGTGTCTGGAACTAGTGTGTCAGAGGTTTCACAATCTCTGTCGAAAGTCAGGACATTCTAGAATGTCTAGAAAGTCAGGGAAGAAAAAAGGGTGGAGGCAGAGAGAACCCAGGAGTCTGGGCATCGAGGACACACGAGGAGGACTTTCCCGCGTTTGCACTTCGTCGCATGCGACCTGTCTCTGTGCGCCTGCGTGTGCATGCCTGGAGTTGTGCGCGCTTGCGCCTGGCTTTTGTGCGCCTGCGCACGCCGCCATTTCCTGCAGCCGCAAGCTCTGGTCTCAGTGCCTATCGGGAAATGTGACCATCCACAAAGCGAAATGGCTGCTGGGGTCTAGAGAGGCTTTTGCAGCTCTTCTCTTGATACAATGCGCACATCAGTCGCTAGATGGCGTGAAAGGATCACAGATGGGCTGGGCAGTTCCTCTGGAGCTGTCCTGGGTTCCTGTGGCCCTTTCCCAGATGGCCAGATGAGCTGAGGTGTCCCAGTGTAAGTGGGGTGGAGCCCCTTCTACCGCCGCAGTTCAAGCGGAGGCGGAAGAGGAGAAGAGAGTTGAGTACCCGCAAGCAGCCGAAAGGGGCTCCCGTGGCCCCGATCCTCCTTGGCCCTCAGAGCTGTGCGGGGGCAGGGCCTGTGTCACGTAGGGAGGGCAGCTGGACCATCCACTCACGAGGGACCCCAGGGCGGACCTACCTGCTCTGCGTTCTGGGGCTCGGTGGGGAGGAGCTTAGTTCCCAAGAGCTGGGGGTGGAAGGGTGATGGGGGTGGCGGGCAGATCCTGTAGGTCACTGAAGCCTTACTTTTCCTGGCTCCAGGGATCATGGAGCCTTTCCTTGTTCAATGTTAGAAACAGTACAAGAGAAATGGGGGGAATGCCCTAGTCACAGAGTTGCAAAGCTAAAGCTTTTTAAGTTTGGGACCTCTGCTCCTTTCATTACACTATACTGCTTCCAGCGCGTGAGTAGTTCCTGCCACCGAGCCCTTGGTGAGCCTGGTGTGCAGGTTGCTCTTACAGTCTATCTAAACGTAAGGGAAATGTGGGCTAAGGCTGAACGATTCTAGAAGTGTCTCCTAAACTGTCCTATTTGTTGTCTTTCTTCTCGCCTCCCAGACACTTGTGATGGTGTTGTAACACTTCTATTTTATTTAGAAAGCTAACATTATTATTCAGACAGACCCTCTCTATCATGTAACTAAAGCTCAACTGTTACACTTAGGATGACATCATGGTTGTGACTCTCCTGTTGTCTCCAACTCCACTGTATCTTCCTGGTCTGTTGACACTACCAAGCAACTGGGCATTATAGCCTAACCAAGCTGACACAAAAGTAACCACCATGCTCCCTCCCACTTTTCTCCTCTTCCCTCCATAGAGGTGGACACTGTCAGACTCTCAGTGAGCATCTTTTCAGAAGTTTGCCTGTTCCTTTAACATTCATTTATATAAACATACACACATATAATTTAGTTTTATTTTATTTCACTGAGATCATTATGTAAGTATTGTTTGATGTCTTGTTTTCCCTCTTGAATGGTAAGTTATATATATTTTTTAATTTATTGATTTGAGAGAGAGAGAAAGAAACATGATTTGTTGTTCCACTTTTTTATGCATTCATTGGTTGATTCTTGTATGGGCCCTGACCAGGGATGGAACCCACAACCTTGGCATCTTAGGATGTCATCCTAACCAAGTGAGCTACCTGGCCAGGGCCCAAATTATATATTTTAATTTTTTTTACTTAGACAAACAAAACATTTATTTAATGTTTACAACATTAAATGATACAATTGAGTAAAAAGCAGAAGTCTCTCTTTGACCCCTTCCTGAAACTAGCTCTCTCCCTCAAAGGTAAATACTACTATCATTTGCTATGTACCTACACAAACTTTAGACAGAATATTACATAAACAGATGAAGATGACAAGGTGTGACTGAGCTTCCCTTTCATATGCTGTCTTCCTTTCCATCCTCACCCCTGCATAAATCATGTCAAGAATGGCATGTTATGACATTGAGATTATGTCATGTGATGTGATCTATATTAATATAAGAGAGTAGCTTGTTTGTAGTGTACATTTCATTATGAAACATGTGAAACACCTAAACCTATTCCTGTAAGGAACTGTCAGTGACAGACAGCTGTAAGAACTACCCTTTACCTCCCAAGCTGGAGCAGGAACTATTAGCTCCCATCTTGGAGAAGTATATAAAGGTCAAGAAAAATTTTCAACCAGAAAACCAAAACTTCGTTTTATCGTGTGGATTATTTCCCAATTTTCTGCAGGAACTTTCCAACAAAAGATATCTGTAGAAGGGAGGGGTGGGCCCAGTGGGTTGGGCTAAAGTAGGGGGATGAATGGGGACCCATAGTAGGCAGAATAAAGATCTCCAAATATAGTAGGTTCTAATCCCTGGAACCTGTAAATACCACCTTATTTTGGAAAAACAAATTGGCAGATATGATCAAGTTAAGGATTTTGAGATGGGGAGATTATCCTAGGTTATCCAGATGGGTCTTAAATCCAATCACAACTGTCCTTTATAAGAGATAGGCAAAGGAAATCACACACACATGGTCACACATGCATGTATACACATGCACACACATTCAGAGGAAGACAAGGCAATATAAAGAATGAGCTGAGAGAGACCAGAAAATTCTGACTTTGAAGATTGGAGTGATGCGGACACAGCCAAGGAATGCTGGCAGCCAACGAAGCTGGAAAAAGCAAGGGAGGATCCTCTGCTAGAGCCTCCAGAAGGAGCTCAGTGCTGTCAAGTTGTTTCTGACTAATGATATTAATTTTGACTTCTGCCCTCCATAACTGTGATGGAATAGATTTCTGTTGTTTTACACCACTCAGTTTATGGTAATTTGTTACAAGAGCTATAGAAAACTAATACAAGACCTCATAGATAGAGAGCAGGATGACAGCTAAGGGGGGCAGTTAGAGAGTGGAGGAATTGAGCAAAAAGGACTCATGGAAATGGACAACAGTGTGGTGATGGGGGGGTTATAAGGGGACTAAATGGTAATGGGAAAAAACAATAAAAAATAAAAACAGAACTCATACAGGACTAAATGTAAATAAATGTCAGCCATAACTTCCCCACACGTGTAGTGTGCCAAAGCTAAAGGTCAGATGGTCGCAGAGGAGCTTGGAGCCTTGGAGAGGCAATTGCCAACATGCCTGCCTCCAAAGGCTGCAAGGGGAGGGGCGCTGGGAACTAACATAAAGATTTGGACCTTGGGGATCTCCCTGTGACAGCAAAGTGGAAAGAGAAATTGCAGGGGAAGCTGAGGGCTTGGATTAATGTTTACTCCCCCATGAGTGGTTTGTGAGCTAGGCAAAGGTGGGAAACAGTGAATAGAGGTACAGGGTTCTCAGCTTTTTAAGGAGCACTCTACAGGGAAGGCTTGGTCACAGGCCATGGATGTCAGGGACCATGTTAATGAATTCTTAATTAATGGCCCTGGAACTAAATTTTGGTACTGGAATACATCTGGCATCACAGTGGTACACAAGAAATCCAGGGGGCATGGGATGGCTGTGTATTGCAGGATGTTGGATAAATGAAAAAAGAGATTCGTTGGAGGTCAAGATGTCCTTGGCCACATTGGAGACCACCTACGGCTGTAGTCAAGGCTCAGAATGGGGTCGGGGAAAAGCATAGAGAAAATATTGACTGATAGTTCTACTTTGCTTAATGCCCTTTTATCAGTCTTATGTAGTTAAAAGCAACCAATTAATAATTTTTTAAAGGCAAATGGCCCAAATTCCTCTGAATGATAAATTCACTTTCTATTTATGGATATAACAAAGTAACTTTTCACAAACTTTTAAACATTGTTTACAAAACTAATCAAACATGTCTAAACATTTCATGAAAATTACCTGTCTGGTATCTCAGACTATCTTTAATGTTTCAAACACCTTTAAAAGCAAGCGGAGCAGGGGCCGCATTTTACCCATTAGGCTCCCAGTGGTCCTGGCTAGACTCCAGGGCTTTGCCAGCACTGGGACCTCCCACCAGCAGGGGCGGTGGTCCACAAAGACCAGCCTCTGGACTCTGGAAGGGAGAGGGGCTCTGAGAGATGTCGGCTTGCTTTTTGAAGCCCTTTGGATGCCTGGATGGCTCGAATGCGCTCTTCCCATAGACTTCTGGGAAACAAAGGGGGCTTCTTCCCAAGTCATGCAAGGAGTGTCTGTGTGCAGTACGAATGCCGTCCAAAAGGCAGCGGATCAAAACATGTCCGAATGTCCCCAAACAGAGTTAACATTGACTTACCCAGGCAGCTCTGGGCAATTGCTCTGGGAGGCTGTGATTCAGCCAGGTTAGGATCCTCTGGAACCTTTTCCCACTGGAGACCACACAGGGACAGATACAAGGTCCTACTGAGCTGTGTGGCTGAGTAAGCGTATGGGAGGGACGGGGATGCCCAGGACACAGAGCTCTCCACATCCAAAAGTAAGAAGTTCTTTTTCTTCTATTCACTTTTGGGAAATCCTGTTAATGCTTTCTTACATGCTTTCTACTTTTTTGTTTTCCTGGGAGAGTTAAACGTTAACTTTCAGTTCTCTAATGTAGTCCTCAACAGTTTCGTCAGCCCTTCTATTAGATTTTTTCTTATTTTGTGCATCACAATTTAAATTTTTCAAGAATTTCCATTATTTCTTTTTCAAATTAGCCTCCAGCATTCTCCAGCTTGACTAGATATGTCCCTAGTCTATTAGTGGTAACAAACACTGCTATCAAACAGTTTCCGATGTGAACATTAGTCTTGCTGTCAACCTAAGAGAGATTCCCTCATTTGGCATTGGATCCCATTCCAGGATAGGGGATTGAACTGCCACTGCAGAGGACTGGCAGCTACTGGTACTGGTGCGTTAAAGATTTTCTCTCTTTGACTAGTCTGTCCAGGACGTAAAAGCTGTCTGCGTTGGCTCTCTATTACCTTCAGGGGCCCAAGTACATGTGACTATGGAAGCTCAAAGCTTAATGTGCAAAATTAACAAACACATACTCAAAGTGAAGGCCAACTACATCTGATATTTCCAGACCCACCTCAGAAAATACTGTTTTTGGCAAAGGCTACTATACCCTGGAGAATCCCTGAATCACCATTCAGTCATCCAGAAAAAAAAAAATACTCCTTATGCTTTCAATCCACTCCTCCTCATGTCCTTGGGGCTGAAGTTTTAGATGTAATTGGTGTATGTTCCTAATTTATCAGGGGGCAGGACACTTAAGACTCCCTTTACAGAATGTTGGTTATAAGAACTGTTTTCATTTTCTTTAAGACATATTGATTTAAGCTTAAGCTAGAACTAAAGTATGGAGTTTAGGTTTTGTGACTCTTTTGGTTATAGGAGCAAGAACTTTTTGTATACGGAAAATTAGATTGCAGCGATCAGGAGTACACATGCATGCTGGGATGCCTGAACTTGCTGGCTGTGTTACCGCCTCCTTCCTCCTTGGTTGGTAAGAGCTGCTGATGTTAGAAGGGAAAGACTGTAAAGTTTATAATAGAAATGGTAAGCTTCTGAGTGGAGCATTTGGATAGAAAACTATCCTAGTCTATTACTTTAGCAACCTTTGAGACCGGATGCCCCACCAATGAGAACTGAAGGCTTTCCCTAGGAACCAACAAGAAACCTGGTATTTCTGGAATTTCTAGGGTTACTAGAAACGTGAAGCCTGGCACCAGCTACTGACATGTCACCACTCTCACACATACATAAAATCACCGTCCCAGGCCACTGTTGCCTCTCTAGCCCCACTTCCCTCAATTGCCCACAGCGGAGGCAAGACTCAGCTGAAACATTCAGTGACACTTCTGGAAGAGAAACGTTTACTGAATCCATCAAAGAAAGGGAGTGACAACACAAAGAGGCGCTTCTAAGGGCCACTAGGGCCCATAGGTCTCGACCCATCCCCTCGTGCGGTCCCCAATGACGTGCCTCCACTGCGCCCCGATGCCCGGCCCTCCCGCCCCAGTCCCCCTTCCTGAGGGCCCCACGATCGGCCGTTGCAGGGCTACGGACGCTGGCGATGTCCGCTCGCTGCAGGGGGCCCCTCCTTCTGGCTGACGTGCTGGGTCCTGGCCCTGCCCTACGGCCTGCGCAGGACAGTCGCAGGATGCTGGGACTGGGCACAGGGTCCCCAGGGTGGGAGTAGTGGTACAGGAACTGCTCAGAAAAGTGCACACAGATCTCCACGAGCACATGCAGTGCTTGACCTAAGTCTGCACGGAGCAAGCAGAGGTTGAGCTCACGACACTGGACGAGAGCAGGCGGAGCCGTGGCTGGCAGTGGAGCTCACAGCGGGTGCCGGGGCTGAGAGGCGGCTGCCCCGGGAGGCAGGCCAGGACACCCACCCAGGTTCACGCGCACCCGGCGGCTCTGCACAGGAACCAAGTCTAGTGTGGGGGGGGGGCGGGGAGCTGATTATGTGACACGTGGGTCACTATGGGGCCTACGGAGAAACGGGGTGGGGGCCTCCCAATACAGGGAGCAGCCTGCTCCGGAAGATGGGGAATGGGGGTCCCCACAACTGGCACCCCTGAGACGGCCCCTAACATCTGCCAGTTCCATGTGGGCGGCAGATGTCTTTAGGTGCCCTGCTCCTAGGCTGGGCGCTCCCAGGCCAGCTGCCCAAGTTGGCAGGGTTTGGGGCTGGGACCAGGCGCGGTGCCGCCGTGGAGGGGGCGCCTCTCCCCATCCCGTTTGGTGTAAATATGGACACCCTGGTGACTTGGAAGGGCTGGTGGTGGGGGTCAGGGCCCTTTGAGGGTGGTGGGAGGCTTGGGTGTTTGCTTGGGGCTGGGTGGGCCTTCCTCTGGGCCCTGCTCCCCGTGTGGGGTGAGGAGGCTGCCTGGCCTGGCCTCCCCCTGCCTCCTGGGCCGTCCTGCCCAAGAGGGGAGGGGAGGGGAGGAGAGAAGAGAGGACGGCGCTTGGCCTTTTGAGCCTCTTTGCCCTGGGAGGATGTGGCGGGGCTCATCTCCCCAGCCCCGTCCTCGTTTTGCAACTTGTCTGGGATGGGCTTGAGCCCCTCCTCGTGGGGCTCTTTGACCTCCTGGTCTCCTGCCTGGGCCTGGCTCTCTGGCTCCCCGCCAGGACCTCCTGGTCCCGGCCTGGAAGCACTACCCATGGGGGCAGGCGTGACGCCCTCAGGGGCCTCTGAGGGTCCTGCCTGACCTAGGCCTGCAGGGTCAGGGTCAGGGTCTTCATTGTCATCTTGCTTCTCGTCTTCCTTCTCCTTCTCCACCTTGTTGTCCTCTGCCTTAGCTTTGGCTCTGGCATAAGCCTTGGCATTGTCCCTGGCAGAAGCCCCTTCTTCCACCTGGGCTGTCTCGCTCCTGGCTAGACTAGCTTCCCATGTCTGAGTCCCGAACCAGGCCCAGCATCTCCAGGAAAGTTGGAGACCTCCCAACCATTTTCAGCTTCCTCCGGACTTCAACCAGCGGCTTAATGAGGTTGGCCCTGGTGAGCACCTGCCTCAGGTGCAAATGGTCATTTGAGGCTCTGGCCAGGACTCCCTTCTCAATGACTTTCTGTAGCAAGATTTTCAGCTGCAATAGGAAAGCAGAGAGACACTTCTTTCCTGACTGCTGCTGAGTGGTCAAATACTTCACCCGGAGGGTCACCCGGGACTCATTTTCTCGAAACACCTGGCTCAGGGCCAACAGGCAGTCCTGTGCTGTCCTGGCAGTGTTCTCTGTCAGGAGCCCATGCACGAGCTGCGGGGCCTTTCCTCGAAGGCCTTCTATCAGCCTCCTCCTCCTCTCCGTTTCTGAGACTCCCTGCCACAGAGGCAGCATTTCAGCGGTGTGGTCTAGCCAGGCCTCACAGGACTCCTCCCCCGATGGTCCCTCCCAACGAACACACCCAGGCGCTGGTACCACCTGCTCTCTGCCCAGGGCTGTACCGCCAGCACACCCTGGGCAGCCCCAGCCCCAGGGACGCAGCCATGCTCTCCACTGTCTGCCCCTGTTGCTCCAGGCAGTGGAACATGTGACCAAGAAACTCCTCGCCTGTGCAATGGAGCACAAAAACAAAGACCACGTTCCAGGGACCCCCAGTGCCTGGAATTTCTCTGGGGACCAAAGCATAGCTGACTTCCCAGTCAGGCTCCAGCAGGGCGGTAGTGGCATTGTCCTCCTCACAAAACACTTTGCCCAGCGCAGTAAAGTGGCCCATGGGCCACAGGGCGGCCTCCAAAGACTCCTGGAGTTCCACTTCATTACAGTCCTCTGGGACGCCCAGGAGGAGTAGGCCCCTGAGAGCGCTGACACCCATCCACCTGCACCAGTCCTGCAGCATCATCACCGCCATCATCCGCAATTTCTGCCAGCGCAGGGGCTCATATTAGGGGCAGGACAGGGTTCCTGGCGCAGACCAGGGTGGCACTGAGTGGGAAATGAATTGGGACTGGAGCGTAGGACTCAGAGAGAACTTCCCCAGTCTCCACAGCCTGTGAATATGAATGGTGCAAAAGCCAGGTTAGTGCTGACACCTCTCCCACCCCCAGCAACCCCATCCCCCTCCAGCAGCGCCTCTACAGCCCAGGCTCAACCCCTACCCTCCTCAGGCCCACGGGGATCGCAGCCTTCTCCCCGCACTGCTCCCAGCTCCAGCAGGCTGCCGCAATCCTGCTGGGGCGCGCAGAGGGCAGCGGGGACTCCAGGGGCCGAGTTCACCGTCCCAGGATCTGGTACCTTCTCTTGTGATGTGGTCCCTCCTTGTGCAGATCCCAGTAGGGGGGGCGCAGGGCTAGGCGCAGCGGTGGCAGGCTGGGTGCCCTTCTTTCTCTGTCTCTCTCCCGCTGTTTCTCATTCTTCCTTTCCCTGTCCCTTTCTCAGTGCGGTACATGGGTCAGCGTGCCGGCGGCTGTTCACCACTGTCTATTCACCACCGCTCTCTGCTGTGTGGACTATGAGCGGGGGCGCAGTGGCAGTGGAGCATGGACCCTCCACGTGGCCCCAGAGGCCACTGGGCCATTGGCGCAAGTAGATCACATGGCAAGACAGCAGCCACCGCTGCTGGCGCCCCGGGACCTCAGTTGATGTCACATGCTTATTCCCTGGTCCCCAAGAGGCCTCTGGCGCAGGTGGTGAACCCTGGGGATCCAGCCCTCTCCCCCTCCCCTGGTCCCAGAATGTGCCCTTGGGGCACAAGCGTCACATGGGGTCCACACCCTGGGGTGCCTGCTGCAGAGTGGCTTGACAGGCGTTCAGGCCAGAGGTGGGGAGCCTGTGCAGCTTCTTCACCTACTCTTCCCCTCCCTCCCATCTCCCCACCCAGGACAGGTCCTATCCCAAGGCTAGGCAAGCAGCACGTCATCTAGAGGCACACCTGGTGTGATTCCGTGGAGTAGATACCACATGTGCACACTTGTGCTCATACCCGCACACCACGCCCCAGGCTGCCCACACCTCACTTGGGGGCTGAAGGGCGCAGGCCTTGGCCACCAAAGGTATAGGATGGGCCAAAGGATTCACTACCCTGATACCAGTGGATAGCCCTAAAGAGGATGATGTAGTGTCTCGTTTGGCAGGGGCTTTTCCCATTTTGTGAGCTCCAAGGCCAGTGTCTGGAAAACTGGTTTCTCCAATTGGAGCCCCAACCTCTTGGGTCCGCTTTGCCCTGTGGGCTGTGGGTTGTGCTGTATCAATTAGGTCCCAGGCGGCATCCAAAGGAGAGAGGGGATGACTCTCCTTCAGGCAGGGGGCCTGGTGGTCTGCGTGCTTTTTCCTGCCTGCTCTGCCAACCACATTTCTGCCATCTGTTGGCAAGCCTCTGTGAGCTACACAAGTTGTCAGGTCTCAAGCACTTGAATGTGAAACACCTGGAAATTAAATGTAGCCTTGCCTGTCTAACCCTTGGAAAGTCTGGGTGTCTGCAGAGGCACACATACTCCTCTGTTGTAGACTCCTGGCTTGAACTATGTTGGTAGTATTGGAAGTGGAGAAAAGTAAAGGAATTTGAAAGATATTTTAAAGTAGAATCAATACAATTTTGGGTTGGATGGGACCCAATTTGGGGATGTTAAGGGAGGTGGTTGGTGTAACTAGTATTAGCCATTCACTTGTGCCTGGCTAAATGATATTGTTCCTTACAGAAGGGCTTTGGTCCGTGTGGTTCCTCTGTAGACTGATAATTGAATCAGGCTCCGTGGAGATTGAAGCCTGGTTATCTCAGGCATTGTCCTAGTTGAAGGTTTGTGCTGAGCCCCACTCCTCCCGTTGCTGTGGGCTAGTGATTGGCTAGCTTCGTGCATCCTTGCAATGTGATCCAGTGCCGTGTCATTACTGAACTCCCTGAGAGCCTTTACCTATCGGAGTTCCCTGCTCTCTCGTGCCTAGCCCAGTGCCAGGTCCACAAATGCACTCCACCCTGAGCTGAAGCTGGAGTTCACCTTCGCAATTCTCCTTCTGCCCGCTGCGGTCCGCAGGAGCACCACGTGCGGGTCTGGGACCCATGCTGCCCCTATTCCTGTCATGTAATACATGACAGCAGCTGTGCTAGCAGGCAGCTTTGCCACAGGAGCCCCAAGCCGGGTCGCCAAGCACAGGTCATTGCCTAGGTCTTAGTCCTCGAGGTTCTCGCAGCTGTGACTGCAGCTTCTGCCTTGTTGCCTGCCGACGCGGAGGGGTGGCGCCGACCTGGACTCCGCCTGCGGCTGGGCCACGGACTACAATTTCCGGATTTCTTCGGGAGCGCTCTAGCATCTCGGTATGTCCTGGGCGGGGTGGGTGGGGGGCGGGCAACGATGGCTAGCAGTCCCTTCCGAGGAGTGCAAGATCCTAGCCTGCGACCCCAGAAACGCGCCCACAGGCTGGGGTGAAGCTTTGGAGGAGCGGCGGGGATGCCGAGGAGCGTGGCGTGGGGCGCATGCGCCGTGCGCGCCGGTGGTAGGTTTGGTGTTCCTTCCTAGCATAAGTCCAGTGAAGGCCGGAGGTTTGCCCCCCTCCCTGCAGTCCAGTGACTGGCGGCGGGTCAGACCGAATTGCCATGATTATGGCCTTGCTTTGACGCGTGTGACAGCTGGAGGAGAGCTTGCTGGAGAATCTCTGTGAGGCTGGGCGCTGGAGGTAAGCTGCGCACGACCGACTGCACTCTCCACGAGCATGGCTGGCAGGCACCCTGATGTTCTCGAGGCTGTGGCAGAAGGAGGAGCAGGTCAGCCCCTTTCCTAGTAAAAGGCAAGAAGAAGCCTTTGCGTTGGGGAGGAGGACTGCCAGGCTGGATGATTGGGCCAAATACCGCACCCATTGCCTTGGAGATGTAAAGACAACACGTGGTGGTGTACCAGGCAGCATTTCCTAGGGGCAGCGCTGTCCAGTGGAAACATAAAATAAACTACACGTATCCTTTTCACATCCTCTAGTAACCATATTGAGAATTCAAAAGAATCTGGTGATGTAAACTTAAACGATGTGTTTTATTTAACCCAACAGATGTGAAAGTATTATCATTTCTATATGTGATCAATATAAGAAGTTATCCATGAAAGATTTTACATTCTTTTGCTCTTCTCTAACTCTTAAAAATCTGCTATGTATTTGACCAGTAGACACCTCACGTCAGACTCTCATTTCAAGTGCTCATAGCCACAGTGGCTTCATGACTGCCCTTCTGGACAGCCCAGCCCCATGGTGTTCTCTTGACTGCTCCCTTCATGGGTTCAGTACAGAGGAGTAGCTCAGATATCACGTACTGCCTGGTGGAACCCCTCTCTTGCCAAGGTTTCTGCCACCCAGGCTTTCAATCAGTCCTTCCATCTGGCTTCCACTTGGCAAAGCACTGCTATGTTTCTTATCTAAATCTGAACTCCAGTGCCTGGGAGGAAGGTAGGACATCTGATAGTACCATTTCACAAGTGAGGACCACAGAATCAAGGTGGACATTTTTAGCCTAGGAGTGTGCTTGCTTTATTTAGGCAGGGCCAGAGCTTCTCACGGTTTCTTCTTCCCCCGCCCCCAGTACTATCTTCCCAGGATTCTGCTCTTCCCCCATAAGGATGACCCAGAAAAAGAGGACAAGGTTGATGGGTTCCTGGCAGTCTCTCCAGAGGTGAGCTGGGATTCTTGTTTCTCTCTGAAAGGCTCCCTCAACCGTTAGAGAGGGAATGAATCATCCTCCCTGCCCTGGACTGGCTCTGCTGGGCCTCAAACTTTTCCCAAATTGCTCAGCTTGGAAGAGGATGGAAACCATAGGACACCCTTCTGTAACTTTCTCTTTGTCCACCCACCATTTGATCATTCATCACACCTTTGAGACCTGCTCTGTGCCTCAAAGTTCTCTAGTATGCCAAGTGTGAGACCCAGTCCTGGGCATCAAGGAACTTATGGTGTTCTGGAGAGAGAGAGCAAGACAAGACCTGAGCATGAAATGCTGAAATAACAAGAAACTACCTGATTAACTACCCACACCAGAAGTTTAAACAGAAAGTACTATGGGGAACAAAACGAGAAGAAATTTAAGCTTCACTTGGAGACTTAGAATGATAGGCAGGGGGTTTCCAGGCTACAGAAGAGTAAGACAAACTTTTCTCAGGACAGAAATGAATGCAGTTTCTTCAAGGACTAGTGAGAAGACAGGCTAGAGTAGAAGGTGTGTCAGGGCAGATGTCAAGATTTATATATAAGAATAAATCTAGATGGTGTGTACAATCCTTTTTAAAAAATTATTGTGGTAAAATACAATAACATAAAACTTACCATCTTAACCATTTTTAAGTGTACAGTTCATTGGCATTTAGTACTTTGGTGTTTTGTGCAGCCATCACTACATCCATTTTCAGAACTTTTTCATCTTCCCAATGTGAAACTCTGTCCCCATTAGACACAAACACACCAGTCCCCCTTCCTTCAACCCCTGGTAACCACCATTTGACTCTATGACTGTGCTCTAATAAGTGGAATCTATAGTATTTGTCCTTTTGTGTCTGGCTTCTTTCACTCAGCAAAATGTCCTCAAGGTTGGTGTCTACACTCTTAGCAATCACCTTCACTGGACCTCACTGTGTAGATATTGGTAAGTGGACAGAAGTTTAGAATGAAGATCGCTCTGTCACAGGCAGTATAGGGCAAGCCTAAGAGTGTGTGGAGGAGGGAAGACCCAAAGTGCCCTGACTTTTTTTTAACTTGAAAGTCTGACAGAATGACAGTCCTTATATTACTTAAGTGAGAAGCCATTAGTCAGCCTCAGGAAACCCTCCTAGAATCTGTAGTTTTACACATAGGAAGGGTTTCAAAGATCTAATTTTATTGCACCTTGCCAATGTGTAAAAGAAAAAAGTTCCCAATTTTTCCTGGTCAATTAGTTCAGGT